AAATTAAACAGCAGGCAATCTTGAGCTAAGCCAAAACGTTTTCTGAAATTAATAATCAAATTATAGTGCAGCGAATTGTAAAAGTTTGCAAGTAGAGAACATCACCCTTGCTCCTCCAAGAACCATTGTAGTGACGCAGAATATCACGTGAACAACTGCCAATACAAAGATGAAAATATGCAGCTGATGCAATGCTTCCAATGACAATAAGGGGACCTGACCCTGAGATAAGAAAAAGAAAAATCAGATTTAATTAATTTGGAGCAAAACTCATATCAATCCCCCTCTGGAAGGGTAAGCTTCATCTAGAGTTTCATTGGTAATATACCTTATGCGAACATTGCCCTGAACTACTTTCTGCGGAGAACAGGCGCCGTCTATTGTTTATAAGTTGAGGAGAATATTCTTCATGACCTTTTTTTTCACTATCCCTCTTGCATGGAAGCATATTGGATACCAAGTCATCTGGGATGCACATTCGACTTACTAGACCTTGCGAGACTGTTAATAGAAGGGAGATGAATCCTAAGAGCATCAGTTCTGTCAACAAACATCAGTAATTAACCCATTGGTCAGGCCAAAGCAGAGATAACTTACGAATTCAAGGCCTAACGAAGTTGGGAGGAGGAGTAGGAATTATACATAAACATCTTAAATTTCCAAGTGTAAATGCAGAAGAAAAAATAATGGAAATAAATATGGAACTGGCATGACCTCTTTCAAACTCCCTAAAACTGAACTCTGCTCGACAATATATGAACTCGGAAGGTTGTACTGTGGATTGAAGTTTACTTAATAGGTAGTCATAGAAATATACTTGTATGACATGAGCTGCCTAACATTACACTCTAGGGAATCACAAGCATGATAATATAAAAAGCATATTGTGTATAGATGATGTTTCAAGAGAGAGCAAGGAAGCAAGCAAACCTTCCTTTAATTTTTGTAAAGCTTCAAATAGTGCATCTTGTCTTTTATGCTTCAAAAACTGGATTGGCAAACACAAAAACAGATGGAAGATTTTCTTAGAAATATTTCAATATACTTCTAAGAAATATCGATCTGCATAATCATCTTGATATCAATAGTCAACAGTAATGCAATATACTTCTAAGAAATATTTCAATGTTCAACATATAATCAGAACAAATTTTGCAGATGGTATACATGTATCCTACCAAGAATTCCCTCTAAATTAAAATGCTTCATGACTTATGAGCTACTCAAGTGTATAAAGTATGTAAAAAGTTGGTTTTAGCAACTTCAGAACAGTATTATGTTTGGGATATGAAGAACGAAAATCCATCGCGGAACCCTTGTCTCTTCTATTGTTTACCTTGAATTAACAGCACTTTTTGAAAAATAAAAAAGAACGAATATTTAATTGTACTTGTGCTTCCCTTCCCAGTACAGTTTGAAATTCCAGACAAACATTTTACTGAAAGAAATGAGTTTTGATACTATCCTTGGAGAGAATACAATTAAGCAATCTGGTAAAACCTGGACGAGCAAAGATTGTTTTGGATACCTTCCCAAGGCGATGAAGACCTCGTTCAGCAATAAGAGATATGAGGACAATGAGAAAACAGACAGAAGCAACCACCCAGGTTGGTGAATACTGCAGAGAGCTGGACTCTTCTCCTGCCATGTCTTGATACAAGTCAATGTGCTTCAGTCCGGTGATGAGACCACAACAAATAAGAAACAATAAAACACCCAAATGTCGCCTTGCTTGATGGTTGTTTTCATGAGTATATGAAAGCGAAAGAAGTGGAGGTGACAAAGAATAAGCATATACAAAGGTAAGGGAAAAGAATTTAACAGAGGATAAGTGAAACGGAAAACCCAAGAAACGTGCCGACGAATCAACCAAGAGACAAAAGAAAAGCATAAAAGTCAGATCAACTCCCAATTGTTGATAGGAATCACTTGACCTGGACCCCTCATATTGTTTCTTTTTTCTTTGCAGAACAGCTGCACTAGATTCTAGTACTTGTAAATAGAATTCTTGTGATAAGAAGAGAAAGTGTTGCAAATAAGTAAGCGATATACTCGAAGTGACAGAAAGGAAGATTGGAACAGTTTTTGAAGTATTAAATGTCGTGGTAGGTGAAAGAGAATAAGAAAATAATAAATGTTCTGAGTGAGAATAGGCTAAGGCGAAAAGCTCTGAGTGAGAGTCTAGCAGTTCTGAAAAAGTTTCCTTTTTGAGTTGTGAAGGTTCTATATATATAGTGTCAAAAAAATAACAGTTACAAGAAGAGGTTTTAATACACGTAATAAATGATATCATTAAACAGAGTTTTAATATTAGGTAACTGTTATTGAGAAATGTTGAATAATGGTTAAAAACTTATTATGTGACCATTGAAATAATTATATTTAATAAGACTTGTTCTCGAGTAGAAGCTAATAAAGAAAAGCTGTACATGAACAGGTACAAGAAAGGAAACAATACATGAACAGGTACAAGAGAAAAGGTTGTACGTGAACAAGTATAAGAGAACAAGAAAAAAGCAAAAAATATTTACACTTCAGAAAAAGGTTAAGAGAGACCTCTTAACTACCTCCATATCTGAGCCACCAAGCCAAACTCTCCAGAACATCCCAATACGAAAGTAACCCATGAACCCTGCCACCTATTTCGGATTACTTTCATTATCATCTGTGTGAAATTGTTATTTTGTACAAAATAGTTATTCTATCTATATTAATTATTCCACATGAAGTAATACTCCACTTATTCTAGTTATTCTGCGTGAAGTAATGCTTCACTTATGATGGTTGTTCTCATTATTCTTTATATAATGTTACGCAATAAAATAATTTTTTTATAAAATAAGTATTAACCAAAACCGACTATCTACATTTTGTCCATAGCATAAGAATTTATTGTTAAAATTAATTCTCATGTATTAATTTAAAAAAGTTTTATTTTGTACTATAGCATATTGTATTATATCACTTTGAGTAATAATGCCCCTTGGGCAATACCACCTTAGACAGTAACACCTTAGCTAGTAATGCTTTAGGTAATAACATCTTATTATTTTGTGTAAGATGTAATGCCAATATTTTTTTTTTTGTAATATTTGATTGATTACGTAATAATTTTTCATATAAATAAGATTTTTAAGATATTTTTTTATAATATTTGATTGATTACATAATAATAATTTTTCATATAAATAAGATTTTCAAG